GGGAGGGAGGGAGGGGGAGAGAGAGAGGGAGAGAGAGAGAGAGAGAGAGAGAGAGAGAGAGAGAGAGAGAGAAAGGAGGCCAGAAAGGTAGGAGGGATGGAATCTAGTTCCTGAAGGGACAGGTACTCAGAGACCTGAAGGCAGGGTTTTAACTGGAAAGATGAACACTTGGCTAGAGAAAGCCCGTGCATAACTACGGGCAGCACAAAGGCTCCGAAAGACCGGTCGCTTAGAGTTTGCCAGAGACGCCCATTTCCTTTACCACCAAAGGCATAAACGGAGGTGATGAAATCTGGCCCTCTGCTAAAATGCTCAGGAGACTCAAGGTGTGAAAAGGCAGAGGCTTTAAGTACTTTTAGGGGCCTTTCCTTGTTAGGATCATAGAAGTTATGGTGGGGAGGGGGTCTTGGAAACCCTCTAGCCCACTTCTCCACTCCTACCCCCAGGTTTTGTGTAGAGGAGGAGCCAGGCCCAGGGGAAGCAATTTGTCCAAGGTCACCCGGGTGGTAAGAAGAGCCAATATTACCCAGTCTCTTTACCCAGAATCTACTACACCAAGACATCCAGAGGTGCACTTGGGCATTCCCCATAAATGGTTTTGATTGCAGATGGAGAAATGGGGCGTTAGAGCCCTTATGAGCCTGGGAGCTAGAATTCAAGCAACAAGAGGGAGTGGGGAGAAAAGAGACCTCTTACCTCCTTTGTCACCCGCCTTGCCCCTGGGATCAACTTTCTCTGCCACTCCTGGCCTTCCTCACATCTTTTTGTTCCCTCAACTCCCTGCTTTTCAAATCAATCAATCAATAAACATAAATTTAGCACCTACTATGTGCCAACCACTTCGCTAAGCCTCCAGTACAGTTATGTACTCATTCTTACCCGCTGAGATAGTCTGGTGCCATGGAGAATACAAGACAGGGGAGCATGATAATTGTCTAGGGGGCTTTGATTCAGGAAGACTTGAGTTCAAATCCAACCTCAGATACCTCCTAGCTGTGTGACCTTGGTCAAGTCACTTAATCTCAGTTTCCTCATCTGAAAAATGGGGAACCAATTTCTCAGGGTTCTTATGAGGACCAAATGAGATAATATTTGTAAAGTGCTTTGCAAACCTTAAAGTGCTGTATAAATGCTAGCTTTTATTATTCTGGGTTGGACCAGTGGCCTCTCATTCCCTTCTGACTCTGAGGTTCTGTGAGACATGAAGAAGCTCACTCTTTTCACTTTCCCTACACCATGTGTGCTCACACTGTCACATGTAAACCTACACTCTCACACGCCATCATTTGGTTTCTTGTTCATTTAGTTATATTAGATCATAAGCTGAGGACAAGGAACCGTCTTTTGCCTCTTTTTGTATCCCTAGCACTTAGCACAGTGCAGGCACATAGGAGGTGCTGGATAAATGTTTATTGACTGACCAGCTAGTTCATTCGTGGAAGAGACGTTTACTGAGTACCTCCTGTGGGCCCAGCGCTGTGCTAGGCTCTGAGAGAGGGGGATGTTAAGCTTAAAGTCTAGTGGGGAGCTGCCAGGTGTGGAAACTCCCTTTACCAATTCCGGACATCACCTCCTCCTCAATTTACAGTCATGGATCATTGCTCAGAGCACTGATAATTACCTAAGGTTACACAGCCAGTATGTCGGAGGTGGGGCTTGAACCCAGGCCAGGCCTCTGTCCACTACACCACACTGCTTCTCTAAGACCATACCCCTACACACAGAAAATATGAGGTGCCATGAAAGGTACAAATAAAGTGCTATGGGGATTCTAGGGAGGGAGAGACCCCTTCCAATCCAATGAAGAAGGCTTCATGGAGAAGATGACCCAGAACTGGGCTTTGAAGGATGAGTAGAATTTTAATGGGGGGACTCCTCGCACACATCTCCATAGGTTTACTCAGCCTCACATACGTTCCCGCACATAGACAGTCATTCTCCTTGCCCCCAAGAGCTACCCTCCTCCTTTTGAGGGCACTGCCATCCATCCAGGCACCCAGAGTTGTGTCTGCCTCTTCCTAGACTCCTCACCCCATAGCCAGACAGCTGAGTCTTGTGCTCTCCCTCCACATCATTTCCTTCTTCCTCTCCCCACTGTCCCTCTAGTTCCCTTCTCACCTAGACTATTGTCCTAACCTCCATACTGACTTCTGCTCTCTCCCTTCTCCAAGCTCAGCTGGCACAAACCATTTTCTTGTGGCCTAGGTCTGGAGGGTCACTCCCCTGCTCGGAGAGCCTTAGGGGCCTTCCATTGCCTGTGAGAACAAAGCCCTTCACCTGTCACTGAAAGCCCTCCAGAATCCAGCTCCCACCCAACTTATTTTAGCCTTGACAAAGGGAGCTTCAGCCCAAGTGGACTCATTAGCCACTCTTGGAACTCCATACTCTACCCCCACTATGCCTTTGCACAAGCTGTGCCAGCAATTCATGCTCCTCTACCTGCCATTTCCTCACCTCAAGCTGCTTCCTACAAAAAGCCTTGTTTGGTCTCCCCCATGTTACTAGTGTTCTCTCCCTGCGTTGTGCCTGCACATGGCACCCCCCTGCTAAAAGGTCGGCTCCTTTGGGTATGGGCTGTTTTCTTGATCATCTCTGAATCCCCCAGGGAAGGCCTTGCACATAGTAGGCTCTTAATAAATATTGGCTGTTGTTAAACCAGTCTTTCTTCCAGTTGAGTCTAATAGCTACAATTAGTCCTTTGAGTGTTTGTGGCTCTGCATCCTGGATTCGAGGGGGTGGGGAGCAGAGAATTCTTGGTATCATTAGTCATGCTGGCTTCTTGGGGTCTGAAGAAGCAGTTGGTAGGGGTGGGGGGGAGTAGGTATATTAGAAGTGTTTATCAGAGCGCAAAGGGGGAGGGGCTGACAGTTATTTGAGGGGCCCTTAAAGAGGGAAGGAGTTGGAGCCTAGAGATATTGAAAGATAAGTAATTACTAACTGTGAGATTGAGGTCAGAGTATTTTATGTATAAAAACTAGAGGTCCTTCCCTCCGCCTCCTTCTCCCCCTCCCCACCCCACCAAGGATATTCAGGTACCCAAATGGAGGAGCTTTGGTACCTCTACTCATCAGCTGCCAGGAGGTGAGACCAGAAGAGCATCGAAGGGCAGCAGGGGAAGGGCCTTAGCATACAGAATGTTAAAACAAAACATGGGGACCATAGACTGTAGATCATTAGAACACAGAATTTTAGAATGCAGAAGAAAATAGAATGTTCTTAGAAATCATTTAAAATGGTCTGACCCATTTTTTAAAATTCTATTTTTCAATTAAAAAAAAAACCTTAAGAAGCTTTGAGCAGGTTACTGGATGACGTGATGATAGAAAGATTTAAAAAATGGCACAAGGCCTGCCCTCCGAGAGCTTACAGTCTAATGGGGGCTTATGAATGCACATCAGGAACGTAGGCCCAGCTGTCTTTGCAGCAGGGATTCTTTCCCCGGGGTCCACAAACTTGTTTGTTTACGTTTTGATGACTTTTTCAATAGAATTAGTTACCTTTGTAGCCCAACGTGTTTTATTTTATGCATTTAGAAGCACTATTCTGAGGAGGGGTCCCTCGGCTTCCCTAGACTGTCACAGAGGAGTGACAGTCTTCACCCAACAAAGGTGAAGAAGCCCCGGGTTAGAAAGTGATTGATGCGAGGGAGGAATGAGATCAATCCAACAGGGAGGGATGAGGAATTAGCCGGCCTTTTTTAAAAAACAAGTTTTTATTGATGTTTTCTCTTCCTAACATCACCATGGTCTCCCATATGTCCCTCCCAATGCCCGTCCCCCAGAGGCATCCCCTAAGACAAAGCATTTTTAGAGAAGATTTTTTTAAAAGTCAGCACAGCTGATGGATATATTGGGGAAAAGTCTGACAAGGGCTGAAATCCCTGGCCCTGGTGGGCCTCCCCCTCTGCCAATGCTGTCCCCGCCTTGGTCCTTAGAGTTTTCTTACATTTCCCTTTGATTCTTTGGGACTTTGGATTCTTCTTTCCCTTTCTGTTGTTGTAGGTACTGTTTATATCATTTTCTTGGTTCTTCTGACTTCCATAGCGCTTTAAGATTTGTACAGCATTTTGTAATTATTAGCTCATTTGAACCTCACTATAACCCTAGGAGGTTGGTGCTATGATTATCCCCATTTTCCAGATGAGGAAACTGAGGTTGACAGAGGTTAGCTGACGTGTCCAGGGTCACGGGTAAATAAATGTCCAGGGAAGGAGTTAAACTCAGTTCTTCCTGATGCTCTGTCTACTTTGCCACTTGCCTGCCTTAAGAGAAGGAAACTGAGGCCCAGAGAGGAAGTGGTTTATGCCAGGTCCCCGTCCTCCATGGTTGGTGCTAAGCTGGGGGTGGAGTGAAGAATGTGGCCCAGAGGACTTCATCCCTACCTTTCCTCCTCCCCCAGAGGACATCTTCCCCTGCAAAGACTGTGGCATCTGGTATCGGAGTGAACGGAACCTGCAGGCTCACCTCATGTACTACTGTGCCAGCCGCCAGAGTTCGAGCTCGCCGCTGGTGGAGGAGAAGCCCAAAGAGACATACCCCAACGAGCGGGTCTGCCCCTTCCCCCAGTGTAAGAAGAGCTGCCCCAGCGCCAGCTCCCTGGAGATCCACATGCGAAGCCACAGTGGTAAGGCCCCCACTCCTGGCCCTCTTTGCTCTGGCGGGACACAGGACATGGGCTGGGTGGGACGGTTAGCCCGCCTGAGCACCAGCTGCCACCTCATGCTGCCCTGCCCTGTCCTCTAGGAGAAAGACCCTTCGTGTGCCTGATCTGCCTGTCGGCCTTCACCACCAAAGCCAACTGTGAGCGGCACCTGAAGGTTCACACAGACACCCTGAGCGGTGCGTGGAGGAAGGGGGTGGCTGGGGGCCAGAGCACCAGCAGTGCCAGTGAAAGGGAACCAGGAGAGGAAGGGTGGGGAGACGCTGGAAGGGGGAGCACAGATGGGTGAAGAGCAGCCCAGGCCGGGCTGGGGGCAACGGGAAGGCCGGTGGGGTCTCACTGGTAGAAGCCGGTGCCTCGGGCTCCCTGACATGCTTGGCACTGTGGTCTGCAGGGATCTGCCACAGTTGTGGCTTCGTCTCCACTACGAGAGACATCCTCTATAGCCATCTGGTAACCAACCACATGATCTGCCAGCCGGGCTCCAAAGGCGAAATCTACTCCCCCGGCGCAGGTCACCTGGCCGCCAAGCCAGGCCCCGCAGGTACGTTGGTGCAACCCGGTGAGGGGGCGGTGTGGGCCTCAGCCACGGGCCCCTGCTGGCCATGGGCGGGAGAGGGGCTAACGGAGAGCATCAGGCCTGTTCCTGGGGTCTAGTCCTAGGAAGGTGATGGAGGGCAGGCGTGTACCCATTCTTGTGACCCTGGGAGAACAGTTGAGGACAGAGTGTTGGTCCTCATACACAGCAAACAATCAATATCTGCTTCCTAATGGTATTGCAGTCAGTCAGTCAACAAGTATTTATAAAGTACTTACTATGTGCCAGTCTCTGTACTATGTGCCAGTCTCTGTGCTAAGCGCTGGTGATATGGAGACGGGAAGAATGTGGTCCAAGCTAGGAAGAGAAGGAGGGAGGAAGGGAAGGAGAGAGGGAGGGAGGAAGAAAGGAAGAGAGGAAAGAAGGGAGGGAGGGAGATAGGAAGGAAGAGAGAAAGAAGGGAGGGAGGAAAAAAAGAGGGAGGAAGGAAAGGAGGAAAGTATGAAGGAAGGGAGAAAAGGGAGGGAGGGAGGAAGAAAAGAAAGAAAGAAGGGAGGAAGGAAGAAAAGGAAGGGAGTAAGGGAGGAAGGAAGTAAAGAAAGGAAGAGAGGGAGGAAGGAAGTAAAGAAAGGAAGAGGGAAGAAGGGAGGGAGGAAGGAAGGAAAGAAGGAAAGTATGAAGGAAAGGAGAAAAAGGGAGGGTGGAAGGAAGAGAGGAAAGAAAGGAGGGAGGGAGGAAGGAAAGGAAGG